CAAGCTGGCAAATCTTTTGTTTATCATGGTAACTAAATTTTGTTTGCTCTTTTCTGTCTATAGCCGACGGTCTGACCCTCTTTGCTCCGACAGACAAAGCCTTCGCCAAGCTTCCAGCCGGCACACTGGACAACCTACTGAAGAACAAGACCGCTTTGACCGGTAAGGGAGAAGGTTACTTTGGGTCATTTTCACACATCCTCCTGGTATTTGCAGCGCTTATGATAAAATAAAGGAAGGTCTATTTAACTAAGATAGTATAATGACCGATATCTATATTGATGCCCATAGTCAACAAGATATTTACAGGTCTGCAACTTTTAATGTATAATTAGTCATTTATGATTGTTAGAGCACTTAAACACTTAAACTCTACACGTGTTTCTTATATATACAGAGGTACTGACGTACCATGTTGTCAAGGGAACAGCCTTCAGCGCAGGTCTGACTGACGGAGAGAAGGTCGCCACGCTGGAGGGCAAGGACCTCTCCATCTCACTGGATAATGGTCGGTAGCTTGTGATCAGGTGTAATAGCAATTATCAACTTTGTTTGTTTTCCAACACACAAAAATTAAATATAAATCCTCAATTTGGGCAAAAATATTGCCGTTACTTATATTTTTCAGAAAAAAACCGCTACCGTTTACTGATTTTGTTTTTCTTTTTGTTTGGACTTAGTAGACACGTTATGATAGGCCTATGTGTACTAAGATAACCAAATACAACGTTGGTTTCTTTGAATATCTTTATAAATAATATTACGTCCTAGACAGGGGAAAGGTATTTCTGATATCATTGCTTGCTTTCTTTTTCAATAGGTATGGTAAAGGTAGATAACGCTATGGTTATCCGTCCTGATGACGCCGTAAGCAACGGAGTTATCCACATCATCGACAGCGTCCTTCTTCCGCCACAGTACAAACGTCACTTCCGGCTCAATAATTGAACATCACTTCAATCATAAATACCAGCTACATGTCAATTTCATGTGTATATTGATCATTGATTTGTTATTGTTGTATTGTCAAAGGAAAAAATAAAAATATTTTTTACAAATGCTTTTGTCTATTTTGGTCATTTGTGCTTCTTGAATATGAAGGAAATGTAAATGATTGAGGACATACTCTTGTTCTAATGAAATTGTATCTAGGCCCTCACCTTTAAACTATTAAAGACATTTTGATAAAAGTTAAGCTGTATATCTGTAACTCCCATAGAAGATGTAACTGTATCACTTAAAGGTTTACAAATTAAATACATCCACCAAATTCGAATGTGAACCCGACTAGGTTTCATGTCCGTACTATAATGGTGCCTGGTAGGAATCTCCACACAGACATAAGCTAGGCCAGCAGTCTGAATTACCTGAGGTTTTAATTATATTGTCATTACTAAATTCTTTGCCTATGGTGTAGATATGTTGACATATACATAACTGATTTGATCACAAATATATGTTTGATTTCTCTAAGCTGGAGATCAACTTTAAACATAACAGATTAGCTTTTAGGAGCCCCTGTCCCACTGTATGCAAAACACTAGAGAATCCAATGTGGATTTTGGAATTGCAATCTTCTGGAGACTGGAGATTGCTGGAAAGTTCCTGGAGTTGTTGCGATTGAATTTTGAATTCATGTAGGGTATAACCGCACTGTGACTGGACCACCATTTACTAGGAAGTTCAGTTGGCTAGAGGGACAGTATATGATTTAGATCGGAGGTCTAGGGTTCAAAACCTTGTCTGGCATAATTGCATTTTTACACGAAGAGCTTTGCTATAGATTATTTTTCTATACTTTCAATGCTCCGATACATTTTTTGACAGTGGTACACAGATCCTTAGCTATTCACTTCTTCTGATGACAGAATGTTTTCTCAGCCTACTTTTAGTCGGTTTTCTGCGACCATAAGATAAAGATGAGGAAATCTATCAGATAGTTTGTACCTGATGGTATCGTTTACTATGTTATCTTTACCACTACTGTCATCAACGTGTAGTATTGGTGTGGTCTGTGAACAGCAGGGGACTGAATTATTAGACAGTCTTCACTGTTCCTATTACTGACGTTCTAAACATATACAGATTGACACTCCGATTATCTTTTATGGTACATCATTTTTCATTTAATTAATTTTTAATTGACTTTTCAAAACATTCTCTGGTTTTAATTTTAGTCAAAAAAGATGAAAGTTAACACAGCTAGATAATTATCTAGTGCTTCTATAGTACATGTAATATTTGTATAATCATTTGTTTCATAGAATTCTTACCATGATGAGTGATTCGACCAAAACAATTTATTACAGTATGTTTTTTAAATGTGTCTCAAGTAATAACGTGGAACTATTGTACTTTTGTGATGGGATGAAAAGTGATATCTCAATATCAGAGCCAAAGATAAGAAAGCATAACCAGAGGAAGCACAAGGTAAGTCTCTAAAGGGATGTAGAGTTCGATTAAATTTGGACGTAATGAAGGCCCGTTGTTTGTTTGCAATTAAAATAAAAAGAGGTAAATTAAACCTAGGATCTAATGGGAAAATAACATAACATTAAAGACTTTTGGCCGTCATTGTCCACACATGACTAACAGGCAATACCATCAGACAAAGGTTACGTGCCTGTGCATGATACATTAACATTATACGTTTGATTTAAGATTGTATGCTACTGTCACAGACATGAACTTTTCAGTAGAGTTCCAAACTTAGAAACGCGTACCTGTCAAATATCTACGAGAATTTACATGTGTAAATCGACTAAAATCGGGGCTTAAACCAAGGTACTATAAATTATGAAATAGTGTTCATCAAACTACTGCAAGGGAGATAACTCTCACAAAACGAACGAACACTATAAAATGTACGTCCTTAAGGGAGATAACTCTCACACAAACCACATAATGTAAGTTGTAAAACTTGATGGAATGAACTTAGACCTACGAGTACATTACAAACATAAGTACATATAGTCACAACGTGTATGAAATCAAACTGTGTCTATACAGAAGCTGTTAGTGTGCGGTATAGTATGTGTGCACATATATTTCCTATACATGATCTATGTAAGTACAATGTAGACACATATATATTATATACAGCGATACATGTTTGGTCAAAAATACCATGCATGTGAAAAAGTCATAAGACTGTAACAATATAATCTGAAACAACACCGGACTTCAGACTCCTGTACGTAAGAAAAAAAACGTTCATAAATCTGTTTCCATCATCTATTGTTACTTAATCAATCTGAGCATTGTTCCATTAGGATTGGTCAAACTGTTATTTCCATAAGCAATGAAGTGAAGACATAATAACTACATCCTCTAAACAATGCTATAACATATATGACGGTATAGCCTGAGTTTGCTCTGGCCCTGACACCAGACTTAGACAATTTGACAGATAGATGTCAGGCCCCGACACCAGACTTAGACAATTTGACCGATAGATGTCAGGCCCTGACACCAGACTTAGACAATTTGCCAGATAGATGTCAGGCCCCGACACCAGACTTAGACAAATTGACAGACAGATGTCAGGCCCCGACACCAGACTTAGACAATTTGACAGAGAGATGTCAGGCCACGACACCAGACTTAGACAATATGACAGATAGATGTCAGGCCCCGACACCAGACTTAGACAAATTGACAGAAAGATGTCAGGCCCTGACACCAGACTTAGACAATTTGACAGAGAGATGTCAGGCCACGACACCAGACTTAGACAATATGACAGATAGATGTCAGGCCCCGACACCAGACTTAGACAATTTGACCGATAGATGTCAGGCCCTGACACCAGACTTAGACAATTTGACAGACAGATGTCAGGCCCTGACACCAGACTTAGACAATTTGACAGACAGATGTCAGGCCCCGACACCAGACTTAGACAATTTGACAGAAAGATGTCAGGCCCTGACACCAGACTTAGACAATTTGCCAGATAGATGTCAGGCCCCGACACCAGACTTAGGCAATTTGAAAGATAGATGTCAGGCCCTGACACCAGACTTAGACAAATTGACAGACAGATGTCAGGCCCCGACACCAGACTTAGACAATTTGACCGATAGATGTCAGGCCCTGACACCAGACTTAGACTTTTTGACAGATAGATGTCAGGCCCCGACACCAGATTTAGACCATTTGACAGATAGATGTCAGGCCCTGACACCAGACTTATGCAATTTGAAAGATAGATGTCAGGCCCTGACACCAGACTTAGCCAATTTGACAGATAGATGTCAGGCCCTGACACCAGACTTAGACAATTTGCCAGATAGATGTCAGGCCCCGACACCAGACTTAGACAAATTGACAGACAGATGTCAGGCCCTGACACCAGACTTATACAATATGACAGATAGATGTCAGGCCCTGACACCAGCCTTAGACAATTTGACAGAAAGATGTCAGGCCCTGACACCAGACTTAGACAATTTGACAGACAGATGTCAGGCCCTGACACCAGACTTATACAATATGACAGATAGATGTCAGGCCCTGACACCAGCCTTAGACAATTTGACAGAAAGATGTCAGGCCCTGACACCAGACTTAGACAATTTGCCAGATAGATGTCAGGCCCCGACACCAGACTTAGACAATTTGACCGATAGATGTCAGGCCCTGACACCAGACTTAGACTTTTTGACAGATAGATGTCAGGCCCCGACACCAGATTTAGACCATTTGACAGATAGATGTCAGGCCCTGACACCAGACTTAGGCAATTTGACAGATAGATGTCAGGCCCTGACACCAGACTTAGACAATTTGCCAGATAGATGTCAGGCCCCGACACCAGACTTAGACAAATTGACAGAAAGATGTCAGGCCCTGACACCAGACTTAGACAAATTGACAGACAGATGTCAGGCCCCGACACCAGACTTAGACAATTTGACCGATAGATGTCAGGCCCTGACACCAGACTTAGACAATTTGCCAGATAGATGTCAGGCCCCGACACCAGACTTAGCCAATTTGACAGATAGATGGCAGGCCCCGACACCAGACTTAGACAATTTGACAGATAGATGTCTGACATCAGGGCCAGAGGAAACTCGAGCTAATGAACTCGGGCTAATGAAGGTATAACAAAGTACAGACAATAACAGTTTATAGGAATTATTATGATGTTTAATGGCAGACGAAAACAGCACATTTTAAACAATATTAACCCAATCAAATATACATAGTATCAACATGTGCAGCATAATTTACAAGACCAATGATACAACTCCAATGTGTTGTCCCTATCAGGATCGACAGTTATGTTATGGCAGGAATGGGGGTACATCACTCTTGTCAGAATTCAGGATGTTTGTACGTTTGTGATAGGGAGCATAGGGATCGTCTGGGTAGTGTCGGTGTCTCCGCCAGTACCCCGTGACCATCTTATCAAGCAGTTTGCTTTGTTGGCCGTTACACATGACATGTTGCTGTAGTCGATAACGACGCTGTAAAGACTTTGCCCACATTCTCTTGTTCTTGCCTGATTTTGTACGAATCCAACCACCCCACTCCATCCGCTTAAACCGAGCTACAACAGCAGGGACTGTTTTTTGCTTTCCTTTCTTAAAGCTGACCATTGTCTTAGTACGTACCGGTTGTAGGAATGGGGAGCACAACTGTGTCAGTGACCTATGAGGAAACAAAAATAAGTTCAATGTAGTCTAACCTTGTTGCTTTAAACTTAATCACTATATAGAAATGTACAGCAAACTTTATTATTCTCCCACCATTTGTCCCGAGAATTTTTGTATCATAAAGGGGTTTGTTTGGCTATAGATTGGGTAAAACTTGCAATGAAATTGTAAAGAGGAAAAAAGACCTTACTGTTGGCAGTAAACTAGGTAGGAAATGGAACAATGAGGATAATTACTGTAGTAACATGCATGATAACAAACTTCAGTAAAATAAAAGACAGAAATACAGAATTGTTTCTTTTCAATTTTGAAAAATCTCATGTACTTATTTCACTGCACTTGTTACTCTTGTACTTCAAATGTTTATTACCATATCAAACCTAATAAGCACACATGCCCATATAAAGGAACTCCACATTTTTTCTGGGTAAGAGGATAGGTGACATAATGAAATCCCCTAAATATGTTGCATACTTCACTAATCTGCTAATACAATCTTCAGGTTTTTGTCGAATGGCTTTGTTCCCTTAAGCATTTAAATTACCAGGCAATGTTAGCCAGTGGTCTAGCATCGTTTCCTGATTCAAGATTACGCCAATTGTCTCCATAAAGTTATTTGTCCTTTGAAAGATTGCACAAATATTTGGGAGGTCGGTTTGAACACATATGGAAAAGGTCAAATTGAGCATGAAGGGGATTTATTAAGAGCACCTCTTTTCTGTTTTTGTAAACGAACAGTGTGCTATATTAGGTCGAATATGGTATTAATTCTACCACATTAGCAATGTTTTTTATTTGTCAAACAGCCATGGATAATTGGACAACAGATCATGCACTTGTCCTTATAATACTACATGTGCAACACTTACACAAAGAAAAAGCCAATTTCTTGGAATTTTTAGAATTATCTAGAACACATTGCCCTATAAGATGCAAGTTATGATTCTTACCAATGATACGATGTTGACTGTGGAGGTTACCCATTAAAGCATTAAGTGATGAGGTAAAACCCATTATAAGATCTAAATTATGAGGCTTACCCATGGTACGTTGTTGGTGGTGGAGTTTACCCATTGGCATTATAAGATCTAAGTTATGCAGCTTATCCGTAATAAGATGTTGGTAGTGAGGTTTGTTTGATGGTTGGAGAAGGAACGGTGGCCCGGACACTGGCCAGCACACTGAACTGTTGCCTGTTAACACAGTATGTGACTTACCCGTGATAAGACGTTGGTAGTGAGGTTTGTTTGATGGTAGGAGAAGGAACTGTGGCTCGGACACTGGCCAGCACACTGAACTGTTGCCGGTTTACACAGTATGTGACAGCTCTATTAATTGACGCCATCTGTCTTGGATTCACTGCCAGTCGACCAAACTTTGAAGTGAGATTGCCCATTCCTGTAAAATAACATATACGTATGTATAAGTTGGAAAGTGTCCAGCAAACTATTTGAATAACTTCTGTTTTGTAGTATTAATGTACAGGTATTCAAAGATGTTTTGTGTATACTTGTGATTGTGTATTGAGTAAGAAAATACTTCTCAAATGGTAAAATTATATATTAATCCTAATCAAATTATTAACATTTCATTATCACCTCCCAAGATAAATCCACCTTGTACACATATATGTATTAAATTTGCACTAGATGTCTATTTCAATTTTTTTTCTGCTAAGAACCAGGCATTTATCTGATGAAGGTGGCTAACAGAGTACAATATTAACTAGTGTAACGGAAATAGTCGACTAATTTGCAACCAGGTAGCTATATTAGTTCCAGAGGCCCATGATGTTCANGGGGGGGGGCAAAGACTAAATTAGAGTGGGGTATGTAACAGAATTGTTCTCGGTTGATCATCTACAACCAGCTGGTGGCTCAATTGGCAGACAGTGATTATTTTGCCTAGTTTTACAGTAAATTACAAGCTGCTTCCCCTGGACGTGACTTAAAGTGCTTTAAATATTTTCCCAAAATAATACATGTACATTAAGAATATCTTTTAAATTTCAATAACAATATTGCTACATATTCCTAATTCATGTAGGAGAAGACGGTAGTAAAATTTAGGTTGTAAAATCACTGGTTGAGTGTCTGTCCAAAGTTTGGGGAGTCTGAGGTTCGAATCCCGATCTCTAGGTTCTATAGGTGATGACTGTTTTAGTGTTCCTCACTTCATGTCTCTGGATTGGATGTAGTAATAAAATAGGGTGGTGGTCATAAATCTTCTGCTTGCAAGAAATTATGCAACTTTTGTGAAGAGAAAAAGCTGAAAATTTGTAACACCGATTATCAGTTAAATATTACAATAATATTTATGGGCGGATTAGTATTTGGTAGAGTGGATAACACTGTGGCCTTCCACGCAGACGGCCGGGGCTCGATCCCTGAAGTCTTCCTACGCATGGATATTCAGAGAAAGCGTTTTTCTCTTGCCCACACAACTTGAACAACCCGAGGTGGAGTATAAATTGGTCTGGGGTGGATGTTGCAGTATCTGTGCTATAGCCTGAAGTATTCAAGTTAAGTGGCACTATAAATGATGCCGTTGGAAGCACGGTCCCACTACAAACATCTCGAATAAATAACATATCTCGTACCGGGTTTTAAAAAATGATCGTACCATGAACGCTTGCAGAGACTAAACCTGCCAACCTTAGAACACCGAAGGAATAGAGGGGACCTGATCGACGTATTCAAAATAATGAAGAAGATTTATGATGAACGAGTCGCGACAAATATGTTCCAAATGGATACCACCAACAGGACAAGGGGACACTCACAAAAAATATTCAAAAAGCGTTGTAACCTAGACATTAGAAAAAACTTTTTCAGCTTCCACGTAGTAGATGCCTGGAACAACTTGCCGCAAGATGTTATAGATGCAGAAGATGTCAAACATTTTGAAATTTTACTGGACAATCACTGGGAAAATACCAACCTTTTTTTTTTTCTTTTTTTTTCGATTTTGTTTAATGTCCTATTAACAGCTAAGGTCATTTAAGGACGGCCTCCCCTGTGTGCAAGATGCATGCATGTAGTGTATGTGTGTGTATTTTGGGAGGCTGTTCATGTTTGTCTCCTTGTGATAGCGCGGAACTGGTGCTGACTTTATAGTGATACCTCACTGAAACATACTGCCGAAGACACCCAGCAGGACGCCCCACGTGCACCCGGTCACATTATACTGACAACGGGTGAACCAGTCGTCCCACTCCTAAATTTGCTGAGCGTTTGTTTGTTTGTTTGATTTTGTTTGCTGAGCGTTAAGCAGGAGTAGAAACTACCATTTTTAAAGACTTCGGTATGTCTCGGCCAGGGGACAGAACCAAAAGCCTTCCTCACATGGGCAAACGCTCAACAAATGGCCAAAAGTGAGGCGTTGTCAAGGGAGACATTAGGAAGAAGAAAGTTATTTAGAAAGGAGAGAAGAGTTAAGGTCCCAAATTTAGTCGCCTCTTACGATCATGCAATTGGGGGCAGCAGGTACAATTCTTACGCCCTACCTGCAGGGCAGCCAACAAATGATTAACTTAATTTTATATATATGATAAAGGACATGTTAATTGTACACCAGAAGTATATCATACTGTAAATATTGTAATATCAACTGATATGGACACAGAGGCTTACAGCCTGCGTCCATTATTTATCGTATTAAATTGTGTTAAATATCCATCACAGACGCAGGCATACACACATAGGGAGATATTAGCCAGGTGGCATAGTATAAGGCAGCTCCTACAAATTCCTCAAAAAATGTATTGATTAATGTATATATGCTAACTGTATTAATTGTATATCTATGAAATGTAAAGTGCTTTAGAGTGGCTTAAGTAAGCTAGATAGGGCGCTTTACCAAATGTTGTATATTATTATCATTATTACTATAAACTTACCAAGCAAGCACTGCTTCAAGGGCGCAGCCATCTTGGACGGTGTAGGGTGTTAATAAAAGTCAAAAGAATATCCGATACGAAAACTGATATTTCCGGAGCGGACCTTTACTTACGAGAAATCGAGCGTTGAAGAATTAAATTAATCATTCGAATTATATTTTCTTTTCTGTGTAAATTCGTAATGTTCTTATGAAGGATAGCAAAAATTTCCAAACCGAAAATTATTCTTATTTTAACATCATTTCCGGAAAATGGTTGTATGATCCGGTTTTAAATGATCGTTTTACAATAACATTGAAATATCCGTTCAGAAACAGAGGCCATGTTGGTAGGTCGGCGGTGACCGATGAGTTAGCCGGCTAAGTTTGGAATTTCAAAGAATCATTGAAATGTGGAGAGCAACAACACACGTACGATCTGGAATACGAGTAGGTTGCCCTATATAAGACCGAGATGGTAGCATACATACATTTGTATAACTGGCATTGCATGCATAGGACGTGTCCTTGAACACGGGAACCTGACATGTGAAGAATGCCGAACCGGCAAACGTATATATTTAATAAACTATTGAGGCCCCAGGTCCCGTTCACTCCCAATTCTAACGCATGTGGATATTCGGTTTGCTCCCATTATTTTCCAATCATTATTAAAATTGCCTCCTGTTTGTTAGCTTCTGGAGCACCGGCAATTCGGCGCTTATAGGAAATTTGTAAACAAACAAGTATTTTCTTAATGCATATTAAAAAAAGGTGTACAAACTGTTTAACAGGTGAGTCTGTGAAATGTATGATTTTAATCCAGTAACTTAATTTCCGGTGACAAAGTTGATTTTCATTGTTGCATTTTTTTGGTACTAGTCTAGTCCGAATTATTCTGACGTTTTATCGACTTTTTTCATATCGGTCTGTCGTCGATTAACGTCAGAACTCCGGCCCTCTATAATATCTGGGAAACAAGCGGCCCGCGCCCGGGTCGCACTTCAAACTGTTATTTTAGAAAAAAAAAAGTCACTTTAACACACATGTCGCACATCAATTCATTTTAGCAATATTTTACATAAAACATTTACTTGCTTATAAAACATCAATTAATAAGTTATTCGATGTTTTGTAACCGATGGTGCATATCTCCTGGTGAAATAAAAGCAGAGTATTTTGACGATGCTTCATTAAATAAATATTGAAATAATTCGCGAGGTTATTATCAATCAATTGTTTACGTAGTGTTAGACGAGAGATCAACATGAAAGTGAGCCGAAGAAAAAAACATGCTGTACGCATAGGTGATTTGAAAAAAACCAATTAGCAGAACTTACCTACATGGAACGGAGCTTCAAATTGAACAACTACATTTTTCGTAATTACGCGCCGAGATGTCGAAACGTAAGTTGATAGGCAATTCTCTGGCATAGGAATTAGGTGTTTTTGAGTTCGGTGCACCAAGGGAGATTATCTTGTGTCCAAGATGGCGGTCTGCCAGAATCGTCGATCTTTTCATGAAAAAAAAACTTGAAATTGCTTACACCTAGATGTATTCTGCGCACCCCCCACAAATTACACGAGTTTTTACGGTACACGCCGAGAAACTTTTGACAGGCACCGTCACAGTCGGCAAAATCATATCCGATAGAAAAAAAGGCTGGCCAGCGGCCTCTTATGTTAAAGGAGTAACAATTAGCCCAGGTTTTCACTGGCCCTGACATGTACACTAGACTTGGACATATCGACAGCAAGATTCTTTTGATATACATCAAAGGGTCAAACTAGTCTTCTCGTCTCTTTCACAAGGTGGCGCATACAGAGTCTTCGATTTTGCTTTGACATATTCCGGAGGGGGGGGAGGGGGGGGCAGAGAACGAAAGGGAGCGTAACCCCTGTGGTATCGAGGATGGCCAGCAATATGAATTTCAATGTTCTACAAGTATTAACATATATAGATATATATTCAAATAGTACATGTAACAGAAGGTTGCCAATGGTTTGTTTTTAGATTAAGGATAGAGAGTGCATGTTTATTTTATGTAAGTACCAGGTATCATGAAAATAAAACCTCTGATAATGATAAAGCTGTTGTAGGTATTAATTTCCATTTCTTATATTTACAGTGTGTTGGATTAAGACCTGGATTGCGCAGATTGAGCACCAAGCCACCTGCATCAGGCAAGGAGACAAAAAGTGCTAGTCAAAAACCAAAGGCCAATGTTCCGCCACCAGCAGAACCACCACCACGGCCAAGGTATATCTTTCATTACTGGCTACATACATAGGATTGATAATATTTAATGTCTATTGTTATAAATATTAATAAATGTAAATATATGGATTGAACGGTTTACTATAGAACAGTTGTTTAGTTTCATTTAGTTGTTCTTAAATAATTAATTCATTTACTGTGTTTTGTATATAATATGCATAGTCCTTTAAACGACATTGGCGGAACAGCCCTATATCTAAATGACCTTGGTGCCAATAATTAACTGTAGTCATTTGAGCAATTGACGCATTCTCCATGTTATCCGAAACGAACGAACGACAAGACTCTCATTGAACAAGGTTAATCTATGACGTCATAAGTAAACCACATGTTACGTCACAACGAGTTTTTGCATTCATACTGACTCAAATGAAATGCATTTTTGCTGGTAATGTTTATATGAATGTCCTGTAATTGTAACTTTTTGTAGTATTTTACTATGGGTACAATCTAGGATAACTGAACCAGTGCTTTCCTGATTAAGCTTATTCTCTCCAGACAAGTTTGTGATAACAAACAATTTAATAGTAGCTTCACCATGCATTATACTAATATAAAAGTTGAATTATTTGTTGTCACAAATTGGCAGTTGATATGTGTTGCATTGATATATCAACTATTGGCGGTTATAATCTTTGGGTGTTATTGTATTTGCAGTGTTCTATACGAGACATGTATTCCTGTTTTCTTCTTAGTCGTGTTCCTAAGTTACTGGGTGGACTGGTTTTGTTGAGTGGAGCTGGAGCAGGACTCTACTGGTATGACCCGTCCATTCTTGATTGGGTGAAGGAACAGCTTAACTTGACATCTGCTCCTAGGTAAGTTGACATTAGAACCTGATATACATGTTGAATGGGTGGAGGAAAAAGCTCTTTGCATTCTTCAAGTTACTCAAGGTGAGATGGTCATTCAATCTGGTGTATGTGTTTGGGCCACTGTTCAATCGTCATTAGTTTGGTGAGCTTATAATATATGGATGGGTTTGTTGACAGGAATGGGCTTAGAACTATTGCCAGATGATTTGATAAATATATTAACATTTGATAATAATAATACTTAATAATTCAAGGTTCTTATATACCGCTTTATCACAACCTAGTTCTTAGGTCGTCTCAAAGTGGTTCACAAATTATTCTCCGCGGTTATAGGGCCTTTGTAACCAGCCAATATCTTTCTCAGCTCATTGGGGAGCATACAGCTGGTGCTGCCATTTCGGCATTCACAGCTAGCATTCTACAATTCTAGCACTGCCCAACCACATACTCATTTACAGCTGAGTAGACTGGAACAAGCAGAGTAAAGTATCTTGCTCAAAGATACAACGTATTGCTGTGCCGTGACTCGAACCCGAACCCTTTGGTCATGAGCCAGGCGTCCTACCACTAGACAACTGTACCTTGATACCTGGACACTTTAGCGTAGTTAAGATTTGTTTGTTACATTTCTAGCACTGAAAAGGTTCCAGCAGAGATATGGCCACCACCTTTAGCAAAGAAGAAACCTATAGACGCACCGCCATCACAGGTAGGTTCTAAACATTTTCTAGTTGTGACAACATAAACATTCTCCAGACTTGGGTTTAACAAAAAGATCACGATTATTTCACTGCAATCCTAATTAAATTGATGTTGTAGTCAAAGTGAAATTTTTTATATGTTTCTGAAGGTTATGAAAAACAAATAATATAAAATAATAGTTAATTTCACAGATTTACATCTGATATAATTTTAATTCAAGCTTTCTTTGTTTTTAAAAAATTCTATTCAGCAATCATTTTGATTGAGAATTTGTTGGTCATTAAGTTTTACATATGGCCATTGTACTTAAAGATATATTCAAAGTTCCACTCAATTAAAAAGACAAACAAGAAAAAGCAGTTTCATATTATACAATACTCATATGTTGGTCCCCATTTAAGGACAGGGGAGATAACTGATCATTCCAGATAATGCCAATAAAGTAAATAAAACGGGATAAATTATTGCTAATAAAGTAAATAGGGGTGCTAATTAAGTGGTTATTCCAATTATTGCTTATGAAGTATACAGGGGAGATAACTATTCCTGCAATTCATTACAAATTAAGTAAATGGGAATTTACTTTTCAATAGCTGCCCTTTAGTTGATCCATTTGTTGCTGTGATAGATTTTGTTTAACCTTGTATAATTACTGTAATTTTTGTTTTCTATTATGGTCCAGCAGCAAGAAATAAAGACTCCTGCTCCAGGTGAGATCCTGTTTAATATATATATCCTAAATTCAATTTAACTTATTTGAATGCTTAATTTGTTGGTGCACAACTGGTAGCTAAAATGTAATATTGTAAGTGTGCCACAATAAAGATAATCTTTGGTGAGTTTTCATGTCTTATGAAAAAGATTGTTAAATTTTGTTCTATAAACTAAAAATTTCAATTTAGCTTGTCACACACTCACTGAATGAAAAAAATCTTGACACTATTAAGATGATTTAGATTTTAAAATTGAAAGTTTTATTAAAAATTAACGTACATACATTTATTCTGGTATCTTCCTTCAACTGGTTAAGACCTCCTGAACTGTGTTTTGTTATAAAATATCCTCATAATGCAGACGTTTGTTGCCCTTTTTATTTGTGGTTTTACAAAGAAATACAAACTTTCTGCTAATTCTCATTCAGAAATTACAGGCAAACCAAATGACACAGATCTAGCTGAAAAAAGGAAAAAGGAACAAGAAGAAAAAGATAAAAAGAAATTAGAGAAAGAGCAGAAAATGGAAGCCAAGAAAAAATCAGCAGAAGAAGAAAGGAAGAAACATGAAGAAAAGAAGAAACAGGAAGAACGAATGAAAGACGAAGAAATAAAGAAACGTGAAGAAGAAAAGAAACAAGCTGAAAGGACCGCACACAACTCAGGTATTTATTTCTCCTTGGATGTCATTCAGTCATGTGCTATAGGAACAGAGATCACTAAGAAATGTAGAATGTTCCATCTTAACCTGTTATATTCCTTCAGTAGGTCATGATCAGTGACATACTACATAATGAATGCTTTCTCACCTTGGAGTTCTGACAATGTCCTGGTTTGCAATTGAATGATTGCTATTTTTAGATAAATTTATAAAGCCAAGCCAACCCGGCCAAACTGAACACCATCAATTGTTAAGTTTAACAGTACACAACCATATTGTCACATAAAGAAATGTATATTGGGGCAACCTCATTGGACTCCTATCTTTGGAATTATGGATAGAAAAGGCTATAAAACATATATTACCTGTGATTATTACCCAATTCTATAACATTTATCTTCTTTTTGTCCCATGTAATTTACTTTCAATTAAAAAAAGTCGTGTTTGAAGTGGCTAGTGAAAATGTTTACAAAATGTGCCTTCAGAAATATGTTATTATTAATGATGATTTTGTTTGAAATAAATAGCATTGTTAAAGAATTTGGATGGGCCATTGGAAGATGTTAACAAGATAGTGACAGAGGCCTTAGAAACCCAAAGTCAGGTGCTGGAGAAGATCAAGGCACACACACAAAGTCTGAAGAGAGCGTTGGATGACAATTCTCCGGTAATTAGTAATCTTTTCCTCCATGTCATTTTACAAAGTTTGTGTTTCATTGAAATTAAAGTGAACTTTTTTTCACAGCATATTGATCCTTGAGATCGTTAATACTGTTTGACTTAAATCCATAATTTTGTTGATGTCCTTCAGTCGGAGCAGCAGTTAAGTATGGTCACACAATAGTGTTATAACTTATTAGTGTAAACTTTGATGATGGGAAGGCTCTGTCATCTTACTTATTCCTCTTATATCTGACCCCTCATAGTAAAATTTCACTGAAATGCATCTTAGGTTTAGGATTATAATTTTATACAGCCTCCATAATAATGCAAGGTTGCTCTGGATGGATATAGTATGGTAACGATAAAAACTCTTGAATGAGTTAAGGGTGAATTGTATGGAGAGTTCCAACCTCCTATGTTTTTGTTATCATTAATGTGTGTTTATTTATACAATTAAGCATAAACTCTGACTTTTTGAAGAGATTTGCTGCATGGTTTGCACTTTTTCCTGGATATTTACTTACATCAGTGTGAAGACTGTATATAGAAGATACATCACTGATTAAGGATGTTGTGTCTCAACTCCCTCTTCTGTAATTTAGCATAAAGAATCGCTTAAAATCTATTTAAGGACTTGATTGACACTTGTTGTAGGGGACTGCGGTTGGTACTGTTTTGATTTAATTCAGATGTATATTGATGCTGATGAAGGCAGGGCTAAACATTTTGTATACTTTTCATACATTGCTAGGTGTAGGACAACTGTCAACATAACTTGCACTTGACTCGTAATGTTTGTTATTAGATTGAGGATAAGGATGGTCAGTGGCAGAGTGTGGTGGAGGCCTCCCAAGCATGGAAGCAAATAGCTAGTGTGTCTGACAGTGTCGTCAACAAAGCCAGGTAAAACTGAAAACAAAGCTAGATAAAACTGAAAACAAAGCCAGATAAAACTCAAAACAAGGCAAGGTAAAACTCAAAACAAGGCAAGGTAAAACTGAAAACAAAGCCAGGAAAAGTCAAAGCTAAGCCAGGTAAAACTCATAACTCTCTTAAGTGAGATCAAGGACTACTGTCTGAGGTGGGTCATCTGTAAAGCCAGGTGAGATTTAAAAAACACAGCCCTGGGAGGTCAAGGTCAACTGTTTAGTTATCTAAATGCGTAGGGTTTCTGATAAAATCAATATGTCTTATTGTATGTTTGGATCAAATGAACTAAAGACAGGTAATTGATTCATCTGATAGATCATAGGTTTATACTTAAAATCGTTTATACTTAAAATCTTAAGCTTCAAGATAAACATTATTAAGTATTGAATATCTTTTGTTTAGACACATATTACGAGTTTGTTGATGATGTTTAGTATGGTACCCTATAGGGGTGGTGCAGTATGGTACTCTATAGGGGTGGTGCAGCGGATAAGGCCCTCGCCATTTACCATGGCAGCTGGGGTTCAGTTCCCAATTTAGACATGAAAGGAGGTATTGGTTCACCTGCCTGACCATTGCATGTGGGTTTTATCCAGGTAATCCGGTTTCCTCCCACAATAAGCCCTCCCCACACAATAATGCTAACATCTGGGCCAACAAGAGTGATAAATCTCATGAAATACAAGGAAAATTCTAATTGTAGGGAGGAGCTAGGAAGACTGAATTCTGTGATTCAAGAAGTGAAAGAGAATGCTGATGTGAAGGCTAACAAAGTAGTCACAGCAGCCGAAGACCGCCTTAGTAAACTTACAAGTCAGATGGACCTCATGGTAGAAACGGTAAATATCCAGAGATCTTTGTTTCCAGTCATGCTTGTTTATAAATAATGATTTACAGCTATTTGACATTGAAAAACAATTCCCCAAATTATTGAAATTCCTGGTATATTCCAATTAATCATTTCAAGACAATGAACACAATGTTGTAAAAATTTAGAAAACAACTTTTCTCACAAAATGTGATTCTGCTTTCAGATAAAGAAGAGTGAATCCGAGTATAAAACAACTGAACAGTTTACTGAACTCATTGAGAAGGGAAAGATGCAATTTCAGAGAGAATTACAAAGTTTGATGCCGGATAAAAAACTGGGCGCAGGAAAAGGTGAACTGGTGTAGCCATTGTTATCATCACTGTAGATTCAATATAACAACGTTAATTAATCGTAAGGCAAAGTGTACTTTGGAAAGTATTTCATGTCCAACATCTATCATTGTTAGCTACATGTGTTGACATTTTCATCTGGAAGCAAGGATTATATAATCTTGATAAACATTGAACTGCTTTCATAATCTGGCCCAGTTCAAAGCTTGATTAGCATCAATATGTAATCCAGTTTTTCAGAGAATCCAGATGTCTTAAAATTCAAATGTTTTCCTGTTTTTGTTTTCTCTGTAAGTGGAAACTAAATTTTTGTATGAAGGTACATTTTAAGGTCACCTGAGACAAAGTCTCAAGTGACCTATTGCGATCGCCTTTTGTGCGTCGTCGTCTGTCATCCGTCGTGCGTCCGTAAGCAATTTACACAATCGACTTCTTCTCCAAAACCCCTGAACCAATTTCAATGAAATTTTGCAGAAACCTTCCATGGCTAAAGGTCAACAGAAATAGTGGCTGATTTGGTCCCCAGCCCCCAGGGGCCTGAGGGGCAGGGCCAAAAAGGGTCAAATTGACTAAAATTTCAAAAATCTTCTTCTCAAGACCCCGATATGGTAGAATCAAAGACTCTTCATAGATGGAAGAGTCTTAAGGTGCTTTACCAAAATTGTGAATATGACCACCTTATGATTTTTATTGGTAGTCTGTGTTAATTGGTATTTTTACTATAATGCACAGTGTCAATGATGTATGTGAGTGTTTCGAGTCCCTATCCTTGTGCAGGTCAGACCCTCAGCGAGGAGGAGCTGAACTTGCTAATTGGACACGCACATGGACGGATAGAACAGTTGCAGCTCCAGCTGGCTGAGCAGATCGCCATGGAGAAGCAGCGGCTCCAGGCCGCAATAGATTACCAGAAACGTGAGGATGACCATGTAGCTAATCTCAGTATGAATAACGCTTTGGAGAAACTACAGCAGCAGTTTGCAATGGAAAAGGAAAACTGGGTGAGTATATGTTTTTTCTTACCCTTGCAGTTCATTTCTCATAAAGTGATAAAAGTGCATTGAAGTTCATATCATACCGCACTCAGGAAATTGAAGAGAAAAAAATGCAGGGAAAAGTATAATTTAAACACTAAATCTGATATAACTTTAATATGACCTACTTTGTTTGCTTCAGACCTATTTTTTTTTAATTTCACTGAACATTCCAAACTAGGCTTTTGTCGTGAACACATTTGTTTCTGACATCAATTTCTTATCAAATAATTGAGTTAATCAATGTTTATATCTAGATCTGCACACATATTAAAAGATTTTTTTGTGATATTGAGAGAGAAAAAAACTATTACTGCAAGTAAAACAAGGCACAGATCCTTGGATATAACCTGTGTATGTGTTTTGTCATTTGACAGGCCACTGAGGCACATGAAGATTATGAGAAGGAACTTAGACACATGTTAGCAATGCAGGCTTCTGCACATGTTGACAATTTAGGAAATAAGTTGGCGATGCAAGAGCTTGAACTCGCTGAACGATTTGATGCCCAACTCCAGGACAAAATTTTAGAGGAACGTTTGGGCTATAAAACACAAATCGCTGGTTGCCAGGCTAGGTTAGGGGGTATTGAGGCGGCAGTGGAAGGTAAGCATTAAACTAGCTGTGGGAAACAGTAGTAAACCTTAGAGTTGATGATGAGCTTGAGTTGGAGTGTCTATTACATGATTTAGTGCTTAAACTTATATTTTCTCTGATAAGAAACATTGTTGGGGAAAGCACTGCCTATTGTTTTTTTACAAATTAAGATGCGAATGTCATGGCATAATTTAATTACAGTTTTATTAATTTTTATAGTAGTTGTATGAGGCAACTAATTTGCCATCTCACCTTTTGTAGACTCCCCCCCCCC